GCCTTCGCCCCGCGGAGAAAAGGAGCTGGGGAGTGGTCCCCCGAGACCCGAGGGCCAGGGGAGGGGCCCCTGACGCCGCTGGACAGGCGGCCGGGGCCGGCGGGCGGCAGGAGGACCCACCCTCCCCTGCAGCCCCACTGGCCCTGGCCCTGGCCAGCTTCGGCCACGTGCCTCGTGGCCACGGGGCCCCTCTCCAGGAGGGAGCGTGGGTTCGGGCTCCGCAGACAGGCCAGCGGGGCTGGACCGCGGGGCTCCCACCCCCGGGGGCTGAGCTGAGCCCCGCACCCCCGGCCCGGCCACCCATGCGGCCTCTGGGGCGGGTCCTCAGCGTGGCTCTAAATACGGGGAGTGACCTCAGTCTGTTTACCCGCGTTGCTTCTCCTACACCCCAGGAGCTTCCAGGCGGTGTGGTGCTGGCGGCCAGGAGCATCAGAAAGTTCTAGAAGCTGCACCCACCCTGCCCTATCCCGCAGGAAAGGGCCCCAGTGAGGCGGTCCCCACCCGCCGCCGCCGGGCGCCGACCAGCAGGGTCCCCGAGCAGGGCCTGGCGACGGGGCGCCCTCCCGTCCGTGGGCACCTTCCAGCGCCCCCCGGCCCGGCTCGCTGCGGCTGGCCGCTGTGGGGCAGGGCTCCCCGCCGTCTCCGTGAAGGCCTGGGCCTTGCTGGTGGCACAGCGCACCCCACGCCGGCCCCGGGGAGGGCCCCGGCACCCACCCGGCAGCAGCCGTCCAGGGCGGGAATCTGCCTCCTGGTCCAGGGCCTGGCGGGGGCCCAGGAGCGGAGCCAGAGGCCAGCAGGATCAGCCTCAGGACGCAGCGGCACCAGCGAGCCCACCGCTGCCCTGGGGAGCCCCACACCCAACCCCCAGCCCTGGCCTCCGGGGGTGTGGCTGTCACCCTGGCGCTCTCCTCCGCGCCCCGCCTGAGGACGGCCCTGGTCCCCTCCTGTCCCCCACCCTGAACTGGCCCAAGCCCCCAGGGCCAGCCTGAGCAGAGGGGGAGGTGGCCCTCCCAGGCCCGGCTGGGGGAGCGGGCTTCAGCCCTGGCCAGGCCAAGGGGGCAGCGGGAGGGGGAGGGGCGGCAGGGAGGGGCAGCGACCGGAGCCTGGACGAGGGTCTCAGGTCAGGTCCGGTGGGTTCTAGGCTCTGCGGGCGTCCGGCCGCCCCTGGACCGGACGCCACGGCCGCCCCTGGACAGCCCCCCTCCCCAGGGACGACGGACCTTCAGCCTTCGCCATGTGTGTCGCTGCCTGTCCGTTTGTGAGAAATAGAAGCTACCATTACAAAGTAAGTGTCCTTTAAAAGGCCAGTGCAGGACGGGATGGACTTGGTCAGGGCGCACCTGACCTGGGCAGTCCTAGAGTCGGGCCTGCAGCTGCCCGCTGCCGGCCAAGAAGCCCCACGCGAGGGGC